GGGATGGTGGAAACGTCGCCTATCATGACTACATGAAGACCGTATTGACCAAAGAAGAGGTCGAATCAATGTTCAATCCAACAGCGACAGCTGAGTACATCGGCGACATCTTCGAATTTTGGCTTGGGATGCTTGACCTGGGCATTCAATTCCCTACAATGTTTGGTGGATGGGGGGCAAACCTTGACAGTTGCCTCGCAGGACTGGAAGAATCATTCTGGCTCTACAGCAGTTCATGTCGACCTACCGACACCACCAACACGAAGCGAAACCGCTCCAGGAAAGCATACATCCCGTCAGTCGAGAACGATATGGTGACGACAGTTCTGAGAGAAGCAGGGATCTTCAATCTACTCCTACAAAAGAAGATCACCAGAATGCCGGTACTCCCAGCAGCAAACTATGATGATCATCCTGAGATGATTGAAGTCTCATCAAGCGATGAGGAGATGGATGAAGTTGACGAGCCTGAAGAGGAGACCACGTCGCCTACGGCGCGGGGACCTCGAGCAGAGCAGACTTCGGGAGAAACTGATGCCGGAGGTGATGACATCGAAATTGAGGAGGATGAAGAGGACGTGGGGGGCCAACCCTCGGAGGCGAAGAAACGCCGAACTGAGGTGCGGAACATCCGTGATCAATTTGAAAAGTTGATTGCCGAAGCATCGAATGTTCAATATTGTTTCATTTGTGGTGGAAAGCATGACATTGATGAATGCACCACACCAGATGACGAGAACATGAGAGACACCTTGTGGCGCATGAGACTGATCATGGACCAAAAGTCAAAATCCCCATCGTCTTCGGAAAGATCCAAAGCTGCGACAAGAGGCAGAAAAGACAAGCTCCCGAAGAACATCATGCCGCAAGGGAAACGATGGGGAAGAACCAGATTCACTGAGAAAGAGGAAGTGACCAAATGCTTCTATAGTCAGCCAGCCTTCATGTACGACATTGGTGACCGTGAAGAAGGAGGACAATACTTAGTGAATGGCATCGAAGTCAACCCATTTGACCGAGTTGTGAAGAATCGTCATGAGCTTGATGCGCTTGTTGAACGAGCAGCTGAAGAATCCCCGCCTGTACTGCCGACCATTGAGGAGCTGAACGCTTGGAACCCCAAAGATCATGATGCATATGCGAAATGGCTCACTGAAGAAAGAAAACAGTATGGAGACAACTGGAATTTCAAGTATATCCAACCATTCACACATGGCCACAACATCGGTACACTTCAACTTGCTCGCATCAATGGAGAAGAATATCTTGGATATGGATGGAGTAATGTGAAGCGATTTGGCGAGAATGAGTGGATGGGCAACAAATGGGAAAACCCGCAATGGATAGTCGAATTGTCAAAGAGATTCAATGCAGCGCTACGCCACTCCGTGGGTTGCGTCAAGGACAATCGGAATCACCGTGGACTACCATGCGATGAAGCAGGTTGGGTCAATGTCGAATCGATCTTGAAGTACGACAACATCTGGAGAGATAAACATACATTGGCTGGAACGACCCGCGTGGACTACCCAGTTCTTGTTGAGAGATGGAACAACTTCCAGAGAGTGATCTTCACTGAGTACAAGCAAACGAAGAGAATCCGAGCTCAAGTGCTAGGACTCAAAGTCACAAAAGGTGAGTTGGAATACATCATGAACAATTTCGATGATGGATTGACCAAGAGACTTGAACGACAAACGCTGAGGTTGGAGATCGGCACTGCAGATCGAGAGATATGGCTTTGGCCGGTTGCAATCCGAGCCCCTATGGCACATTCGAGAGTTCAAGGCGGTGTGCACATCGAAGACAGAAAGACTTCCTACCAGATGAACCCAGGAGTCGGATATACTCTTGGAGGAGGATTTCACTGCACTACGTTTGACAACATCGCCCAAATCTTCAGAGAAGGATTACGTCCCGGAGGAGGAGGTGACCGCATCAATACGTTCTTCGTGCCATTCGCACCGTGGGACGTGCGAAGTCAGACGGTGCTGCGATTCAGAAGGATTGATCAAACTGATCTCGTCTACATATACATCACGTATGAATCCATCGCCAAATTCTCCCCTCGAGTATCAGCAGACGGACACATCTTGGTCCAAGAGACAATTCCTTTCGAATCATTCGATGCAGTTTGGTACTATGACTGGAAAGAAAAGGATTATTACCGTCTCATGATCACAAAGGGAAAAGACCAGATTGTACTTTCTGTGCAAGGAGCAAGGAAGGTGGCCACCATCGAACGATTCGACAAACTCATTGGGAACATTGTCCATGATGAATCTTCACCCGATCTGAACGAACTCCGAAAGCTTGTCGACATCAAGACCGGTCACTTCAGTCATTCTCACAGATTATTTCCTGGACATCCGGATTGGAATGATGCAATCTCACTTCTAGCGGTTACTCATCGTCCAAGCAAGGGAGATCATAGACTATGCCCCGCATGTCTATGTGAAACTCCTGCATCACTATCGATTTGTGTGGTTTGCAAAGGATTTTTGGTCAGTCATGGATGGAGGAAACGAATCAAGATTACCGTGGCTACTGTACCAAATGCCGAATCACGTCCTCGAGAAGAAGATGTCAAAGACCATGTCAAGAAAGCATGGGAAGAAGTCAAAATCGATTTGACAGGTGAAGAAGACGACGATGAACTGATGCAAGATGATGAAGATGTCACCATGAAGAGTCCGGAACAAGAACCTCAACAAGAAGAAGAAAATGATGATCAAGCCTCGAAGAAGGATGACATCAATGACGAGAGAAGAGACTTCAGAAAACAAGACGAAGTCGATGAATTTCTCAATGAGGAACGAGAACAAACCGATGAGAATGATGATGAAGAGAAAGAAGACGGTGAAATCAACATCGAAGAGTATGAGGCCGGAGAAGCTCATGACGCAGTGATTGAGTACCCCACATGGTTAAAGAGGATCGATTTTGGATCAAAGGTCCTACCAATCGAGCCTTGCACAATTGGAGATGCTCAGCCGGAGCTCATCAAAATCCTTCTGTTACAGATTGGGTTGCATATCCTCAGGATCTACAGAATCTTCCAACGGAACTTTTGTGGAGACATTGAAACTGCATGGCAACACTTCCAACAGAACAAGAACTTCAGAATGGATTTGGATTCAAAAGTGCCATACCTAGGTGAGGATGAAAATGGTGAACTCATCGAACCAACTGCACAACAGATGAAAGAGCTATATCAGGAAGTCGGCCGACCAGAACACAGAGACGACATCGGGGAAGAGGGATTCGTCAATGCATACTATGGAGCAATAGTGCTCAAGCGACTGCTCGTCTACACCCTTGAATGCGGTTACACCTATGAAGACTTGCAAAATATCTTCTTCGACGACGAGATGGAGAAGCTATCGAAAAGTGACACATCAAGGGATGAGATGAGGAAAACCGCAGCTGCCCGCGAAGCCCTTGACCGACAAGACGTCATGGTCAGAAGAATCATTGCAGGTGCATACAGAGTGAATGCTGTTTATTTCTTCAGGAACGTCGATTTTCAGGACACGATCACACTGAATCCAGTTGACATAGTGTGTGCTCTTCGACCACCACTTCGAAGAATATCAGTTTTGCATCTGATCCTTCAAAATGGCCGACAACTACCACGACCTCTACTCCAGAAGCTGTATGATGCGATCGAAGACTACAACCACATCAAACAACGAGATGATCAACGACCAAGATGGGGCATCCACATGTCAGAAGCCCACCTGGTCGCAATCGCTGATACCCCGGTTCCTGCCAATCGTGAACGTGCTACACCGGCAGCTGGCAAATCAAAGGCAGCCCCGAAGACAGCACCAAGACTGGGCAGTGTATCGAAAGCGAAAGCATCATCAACAGCAACATGGCGAACCGTCGAAGCTGCTCCTCCGCCGAAACAAGCTCCAGTACCTCCGCCACAGAAAGGTGGAAAAGACCAAGGGAAAGGTGGAAGATCTTATTCACACCGTGGTGGCGACTGGAATCATCAAGGATACTATGGATGGGGATACAGACGATAAATCGACTTGACCTCTGCATAGGTCCTGATTGAACCTGGCGAAGCGAGACAGCAATCATTGCTCGTGATTTACCTCTTCTTCATTATGAATGATTTCTGAGAGGAATCTGAGCCGGCTAATTGAGAACCACATTTTTTTTAAAGAGTATCATTGCATGAAACGCTGAGTTTCTACAGCGGTCTACATCTCAACTGACGAAGGAACGGGAAGGTAAACTTCTAGCTCCGTAGTCACCATTGCATTTTGATTTTATTTCCATGCTTGAATGAGATTCCATGATGGCTACGCCACTTCGGATGAACCTCAATGCTGTACATAGACTATGTCTTGTCAGCGTGCATGTGAACAGATTTTTTTTGGTAGAGATCGTAGCAAGCCGCATGGTAGATATGAAGTTCTGAATGAACATTCAACTCTCTCTAATTCAACAGACGTAAATTGCAGGATGGGAGATTAAACTGGCTCTCCTGCGCGTGACTGATAAAGTCAGTCATGCGTGGGGGGTGCGAATGGGGACTATACCACAGTGTACAATAATATCCCCATGTAAATAGCCTAGTATCATTCCAGCCAAAGGGTCAACCGCAAAACCTTTTGGCTCAAGTCACCCCAACTGCCGATCCGCGAGAAAAGAAGTTCATGCCGAAACTGCGACCCCGTTTAGCTTGAGTGCAAGAACATCAACCCAGCACTATCAAGAGGAACATATCGGAGAGAATCTCCGATTCACATACATACATACATACATACATACATACATATATATATATACATCATATGCATGCCTTGCATTGTGGGTGAAAACCATGCCTGGACTTGGTTTATCAGGCGGAGAACTGGTCATAACATTTTGGGGGACCTCCTGCAGCCATCAAATTGATGATTTTTATGGGGCCAAAGAGAGGTCCCTGTTGCATTTTTGAGGACACCCTGAGCACCCGAATGACCGATCATCGTTTTTCTGAGGTTGCGCGAGAAGACTACGACGTTGATTCATCAACCGTCGCTTGGTGGACATCGACACCCATCAAATCGGGTGGCCCAAACTCAGAATTGATCCAGTTTTCGAGGATTTCCCCAGCTATAAGCCTGGATTTGTCCGGGATTTTCCGGTGCGGCTAGCATCTCTGAGCCTCAGCTGAGGGCATCGGAATGCTGCGCGTGGCTTTGAGCAGGCTTCATGGCTGGGAAGCTCAGCAATGCTCAGGTCCACCCCAGTCACCTCTTAGCTCATCCCGTTCCGGCCCAAATTTTGGGGACCCTGGCCCTGTAATTAGGTTATTATGTATATGGATAGTATAGATGTATAGCAACCCGCCCAAAAATGTTTTTTTTAGGGAGTCTAGGGATTAATGCCAGTTTCATCAGATCAAACACCCCAATATGCGTGTTTATCCCCTTATTAAAGCATGTTTTTTTGCGGAGTGTTTTGTATGAACGGGGGATGGGATTCCTCTATAGTGCTAGATCTATTTATTAAACCTGGCCCTTGTGGGTGTGCATTGAGGGATTGAGGGAAGGGATTGGGCCTGGGATCCTCAAAGTACCAGAGTTTGGAATGAGATGCACCGCTTTTGGGGAATCAAGGGGATCAGTGGCAACAGATGCAGAATAAGAATACGGCTAGGGATTTCCATTAAGAAATGACAAGCCGCAGCATGTATCTCCAAGGTTCAGTTGCAAAACGTGGTCTTTATCTCCATGTCATCGTCTGCTTGGGTGGTTTGCACATGTGTCCTTGGTTGACTTTCCATACCTATTGGTGAAAGATGTCCCCCAGTTGACCACCAAAGCTTGTTTTCACTTTTTTAGCATTTCCATCTTAGTATCTTTACTTGCGATGACGATCCAGATTCAGACATATAACATGATATATATAATATATATATATATATATGCCTATATATTTTGTGTATTCAAATCATTGAGTAAGTAAAGTTAAGAAGACATAAACGTGTATATATATATATATGTTGTCAGATTGACACTGGTAGCTTGTTCACTTCCAATCCTAATCCCAGTTGGAACCCTGTCCAGCAATGCAAAACTCCTGTTTTGCCCAATGCGAAGCCGCGACCTGCAATCAGTCCAACGCACCCACAGCTGGCCACAGCTGTATCCGCTAAGCGTCACTGATAGCGCTATTGCTCAAGCTACTCCCCCCCTCCAGCCCAGAGGCTGCGGCAACAACTGGTTTCTGGAAGAACCCCCTGGTTAAGTGAGGGAATGACCTCATGCACATGTGAACTGGCCTGGCTTTCACATTCGTACTATCAAAATTTTGTTCATCATGTGCACATTCCAGATACGACTTCGGTGATCAGGATGGTGAAGACAATCACGGACATGATGTTTGAAAAATACCCAGTTAATTAAGCATTGAGGACAATGCCAACCTCATCACTTGTAGTTGTCTCCTGTGAGGCAGAGACCACGCTTGCATCATCAAAAGATCTAGTTGAATTTTCAAAACTTCAATCGGATAGCGCATGGACGACTTGGCTTTTCCACAAACTACCGATGCTCTGAACTTTCGGGATTGAGAGCTTGAAGCCATTTGATTCTGGTTCTTGCATCTGATCTAGCCTTGAGTATTTCATGCTCGTCATGCAAACTGTAGTGACCTTGCTGTAAGCATGTCCTAAGCATGGTATTGTCCATGACTTTTGTCAACGCATCAGCGACTTGAGCGGCTGATGGAACCCATCGGATCTGAATGCCATTTTGGATATGTTCTCGAATCAGCTTGGCTTGAAGTTGAGTACGGAATTCAGTGCAAGTTGGGGGAGCATTACGGTTGATTAAGTCAAAGAGTGATTTACAATCAGTGGTGATGAAATCAGAGCGTTCCTTGGGAATATCATTGAGGATTCTTTTGGCAACTTCAGGCATCGGCTGTTTCTCAGGCAGTTCTGGTGTCAACGCTGAAAATGCTGGTGGAAGTCGGAGTAGAGTGCTATCAGCTTGTCTCCAATCACAGCGATGATCACAGATCCATGCCCAAAAGAGGCGCACCCAAGAAAGCATATCCACGGCTCCTGCCAGAGCCATTGCTTCGGCTGACAACGTGCTGACTGCTACCTTCTGGATTTTCTTAGAATGCCATACCATAGGATTTATTGGACTGCGTCGATTTTCACCAATGCACTTGTGGGCTGACATGATCATCATTCCCTGATGTGAGTCAGGGCATTTCTCTGACGCAAACGAGGCATCGGAAAACGCAACAAACCGCAAATCATGAACTGGTATGGATTGTATTCGAAGGGCCACATTGGAATGTTGTTTCGCTTCATGGAGTGTTCGGTTTGCCTCAACCAACGTGGACACTTTTGCTTTGTTGATTTGGCTTTGAAGCCAACCCAGTCGGCTGCATATGTCAGGTCTCGTGTTTACAGCTGCATACTGTAAGCTTCCTATCAGAGCTCGCAACGCTTGACGTTCCTCTTCTGTGACGACACTGTCTGGTTGACATCTTCGATCACGAGAGATGGAAATTGCATGAATATCCCGAACATACTGTGACTGGTTCACTGTGATAGTGTAATCAGCTTCTTGTGTGACATGTAAACCAGTGAACACAAACTTGTGCATCTTACGGGATCCAAAAGGAAACTTGGCTTCCAGTTGTTTGAGTTTGTTCTGAAAAGTTTCATTTCCACAACACAACCCATCATCAACATGAACGCCAATCAGACCTTGTGTCTCCTGGGTTTTGGGGTCACTCAGATGGAACAGGCACGGATCAAACGGTGATGCTTGGAATCCCAGCTCCTCTAGGGTCTTCTTCAGTTCAACAAACCAGAGATATGGTGCGTCAACACGCCCATAGGCACCTTTGAGTAGTTGCACCACTTCATCTTGACGGAGCTTGAGTTTCTGTCGCATCTCTTCTGGTGGTTCCATGCCTAAAATGCGATTGCTCTGTTCACTGCCTCGCAAAAATGCAGTCTGTACATCGAAGCTTTGGATATCCCATCTTCGGCTGGCACAGTACTGAAGGAGAAGCATCCGGGTCAGTTTATTCATGGTGGGACTATCGCGGGGAATCTCAGATACTTCAGGATCTTCAAAACCAAGCACAACTAGTCTAGCCTTTGGTTTCATTTTCTTGGATTGTTGGGGTTGATCAGCAGTGGGATCAACTTCTCTCCAAGTTAAAATCCATCGGCTTCGGAGAATGTTGGCTTTTGGGATCTGATTACGCATGATTTTTGTGATAGTCTCGGTACTGATCCAGCTTTCCACTTCTTTCATCTTAGCCTGCCGGAAACGCTCGCGATCTTCAGCTGTGAGATCTGACAGTTTCACCTCACTGCGCTGTCGTTTTGCTGCTGAAACAAGAAAAGCCATTTCCTGTGGTTTTGTTTCCTCACGCCAGCGTGTGATGTCTTGAGCACAAATGGGAATCTCTAGTTTCCAGCATTGATCATTATCAACTTGGAAAACATGGTCGGCTTCCACAAAGAGATCATCATCCGTATCTGGAATTGGCACTTCCACTGGATTGGGCGGCTGTTCAACATTGTCGGAGGGATCTTGATTGTTAGGAATTGGTTCACCATCAGGTTGTTCAGAGTTACTGTCACTTATTGGAATGATGGGCACGTTAGAATTATCTTCATTGGGGATTGTAGGAATCTGAGTCACATTTTGATTATTGGCAGTGATAGTTGAACTTGGTGCTTCAGTGGGAATTAAATTGTGATATTGGACTCCGCCATGTGGTGGTATAATGCTTTGATTTGGAAGAGTTGGATTGGGCGAATCACCTGATTGATTTTCATTGGTTGTGGATCGATATTGCCACTCCTCAACTGCTGACAGCGGTCGGAGGTGTTCAGGAGCTACTCGATACAGCTTGCTGCCCATGGTGATCCACACAACATGTGTACTTTCTTGCAACACTACTCGAAGGGGACCTATCCACGAGCCATCCGCTTCACCACGTTTTCGCCACATCATGACATGATCTCCCTGGACATACTTGCCCCGATTGGGTCGACTCCTTTGGACCAGGGCTCTTCTCAGGACCTGACAATTGTCAGTGGCAGTGAAGGCGCGACGTGCGCGTTCTCGCAGGGCCAGTTCCTCTCTAAATCGGAGACCTTCAGGACGATCATCAATGGCTAAACTGTGGGAAGGCAACTGCATGTCTGAAACTACCGAACCGGCTACCCTACTTGACTTACCAAACACAAGGACTTCTGGTGGATAACCCCTGTGACGGCTCCATTGATTTTTGGTTGCAGTGGCCAAAGCGGTTGCCTGGCTTACTTTTTCAAAGGAATCAAGTGGTTCTTCGGTGTCCATTTTGTTCAAAATACTTTGAAGTACTGCTCCATGTCTCTCAATCCTAGAGTTTTGCCAGTGTGCTTCTGTGGCAATTGTTCGATGTTTGATTGAGTATCGTTGTAAAAAGGTCAAAAAGTCATTGGAGTTCAGTTCTGTCCCTGCATCCATGCATAGTAGAACTGGAGGTCCAGCCCATTGAATCCACCCCTGGTGAAGCGCATGTATGGCTTGTTCAGCATCATGTGCCCGAGTAACCACGGCAGTGTGATACAATGTACTTTGATCCAACATGTGATAGATGCTATACTGTTGCCCCATCTTATTGGTCCATGTGATACCATCAATTGCAACAACATCTCCAAAATCCCCATGGTCATGTATGGAACTTGGACGAGCTATCTTGGGATCTTGGTTCTCAGCACATGTTGAACATTTCAGGTCTCCGATGGCTTGGAGAATTTCACTGGGACATCCCAGTTGTCGACAGAACTCTGTCAATTTCATAGCTCCCGGATGGCCCAGGTTTCGGTGAACTTTGAGAAGCCATGCCTGAGTTTCTGGCTTTAACATCATGAAACGTGGTCCATGTTTCTGAGAGGCAAGGTCAATGACATGACGATCTATTGATTCGGTCTTTTCTGGTTTGGAAACTCTTTGGGCCATATCCATTGGCTCATGAGTGCGAGGTCGCTTTGGTTCTGGCTCTGATCCTTCGAACTCAGCAGAGCGAACAGCACGGACGTCGGCAGAAGGTTGAGACTGCTCTGGAACATGTTCAGAAACAGGTATCTCTTGGCCTACAACTGTCTTGGCTTTGGCAAATATGGTCAAACTGACTCTGGCTGGCGTTCCCTTTCGACGCAAACCTTTAAAGGTCAGCTTCTCCCAGGGCTCCCATTCATCATCAACAACCACATCCTCATGCTTGCGACGGATGCAAATGCGTTTTCTTAAAGGAGCACTCCCTGGTGGAACATTTCTGGTAGGGCCAGGATACCGGTCTGTGCCACGACAAAGGACCACATGTTTAATCTCATGTTCAGGACATAACATGGAAATCTCATGAATGATTTCTCCAGTGTCAATCACCAGTGGTCCAACACGTGGGGCCATTACATTGGCACGTCTCATCACTGTCTGCCAGCTGGCGTCAGCAAATCGCTGTGCAATGGCTTGTGGACTCAGTTTTGACATGAGGCGTCTCTTCTTGGTTGGGTGTTCATTGTTATTTTCCTGAGAAGGCGGGTCATCCATTGCAAACACAGGCTTTTCCTTTGAAACTTCATACAGCAAAACCTTGACTACCTGTCGTGCAAATTTGGCTGGATACTTCTCAGTAAAAGTGGACAATGACATATGCTTTCCCTCATGTTTGATGCTTCCTGCAATTTGTCGATGTTCATGATCGGAATTGCACAGCTTTCCATGGATGGCTCGGGCCAACGAATCTGACGTCGTTGCGACGTTCAAACGCTTTCGGATGGGCATGGCTGATTCTGGATCGGTCAAGTTGCCCATGCGGCAGAGGTCAAAGCGGCAAAGCATTGTGTGTTCACCAATTTCACTTAGTGGTTGGATCTGCAACATCTTGGAACCATCCGGCTGTTCTAAATGAAAATGCAATGATCTCTGCACCTGAAATCGATACAAAACAATGGCTAAGCTGATCTGCCAAAGGCTTGCAAGACGTTTCTGAAGGATGTCATGCAACCCATGGAGTGATTTATTCCGCCCCATAAGACCTATAGGTGGTTTCCACACAGAACCGTGTCCACGCACCCAGGGTCCACATTCCGGGCTGTACCACAGATTCTTGGGATTCTGGGTGGTCAACACTTGAAACATTCTTCGGCGTCCTGCAGCTGTTTGGAGGTCACCTTCTGCCAATCCGAATCTTTTGGAGCGACCACCAATGGACGACATTTGCTTTGTGAGTTCACTGTCACTGGAACACCTGACTTCAAACAAATCAAGTTGAGGAAGTTGAAACTTGTTCTTCTGATTTTGTTGAATCACTTGGTCAAGTTCAGATTGAAATTGTTTCACCATACGTTGGATTCGTCGGTGATAACTGTTGTTGGAAACATCATGTGTGAAGTCAAAGTCTGTGTCCAGGGTCATGTTCAAATGCATCTCTTCTGCAAACATACCATGCCGGATCAGATCAGCCTCAGTTGCACTCAGAACTCTCAGTTCTCGGATTTCACCTGCATCTTCTTCATGTGCTCCAGCATCTCGTGCATCATCATCTCGACTTGTCCCATTCGATTGGACAGATGCTGGTTGCTCTGTCGTAGATCTTGCATCTCCTCCTGAATGAAGGGCAGATGCATCAGGTCGACTGGATCTGAGCCGTCCGTGGGCATGACATCTTCCCAAACCTCCTGGGGAACGGGAGGCATGCTCTTGTTCTCTTTCGGCTTGGGGCTCTGGTTGCTGGTTTTGGTCTTCACCTGGACATCCTTCAGGCGCAGACGGACATACTGCACAAACATCATGTGCTCTGGTTTGTCGCTCGTCTCGAACCTGTTCAAAATGAACTCGGTCCATTGTGCGTCCTCGAACGCCTGAGGATAGGTCATACCCTTCTTTGACTCTCCGAAGGTGATCTTCTCGCTGGCTAACTCTTCCAGAGTCATGGCACTCACGACCTCTCGAGAGATCTGCTTCTTCTGCGACTTGTTGTACTCCTTGAGCTGCAAAGCCAGGGACGTCATGTTCCCCCGGTGTTGAGTCACGTTCTGCGTTGATCTTTGGACCACACACTGCTGAGTCAGTCGGACATGATGGTGACGGGCTCACCGGCAAGTGGGTTCTCAAAACTGTTTCATGGCAACTGACTGAACTTTCAAGCGGAGATGATTGGTCTGTCAAGTTGAGCTCACTACCCCTAAGGCTTCCCTGCGGCTGTTTGACTGTCATTTTGGCACCACGGTCAATTTCAGTCTGAGCCATGCAAGAGGCCTCACCTGATTCACCAGAAAAACTATCATCCCAAAGTTGATTCAAATTCATTAAGAACAAACAGATTCTTTGGAGATCTTTCAAGAGTGAGAAACTTTCGTAAGGCCTTACTCCACATGGTTCCCTCTTCAGTGTCAATCACAGCTTGAATCTGTTTCAAAAACGCACTTGACAGTAAAAAAGGTGTTGGACCTGGAACAACTGCAATTCGGAACCATCCCTTTTGGATCGGGAGCACAAGTGCATGTTGGCTCGTCAGCGTCTGATGATTACCAAATCGAAACACTAAGTGGCATGGTGCACGGTGTGCTTGCTTTCGGATCTGTTCGGGAAGACCCTGCAAAAGTTCTGTCACCTGATGGCTTCCAATCACTGTCTGTGAAGCACCTAAATCAACAATGCCATGGGTACCTGATGACGCAAAGTGTATGTCATGTGAAATCACACTGGATGCCGGGTGACCTTTCGGATCATGCATGTGAGACGTCGAGGGACACTTTACATCATGGGACTTTGGCTGCGCAGCATCACGGTGGTTGGCACGAATGCTCAGTTCATTCCTGAGGGCCATTCGGATGCGTGACATAACATGTGATTTAAATCCCCATTTCTTACCCTCATCATTATTCCAATTATTCCCAAGTTTATTTCCCGTGATTACCCCAAAACATGCGGCTGCACAATCTGGCAAAGGCTCGGGAAATCTCATCTCAGGCAAATGGGAGATCTCGAGCGGGATCTCTGCTGGCACATCGTCGACGACCGCCATGGAAATCGGAACTGTTGATCCATCACTTGGAGGGCCAGTGGACGAGGCTGATTGACGAAGGCTACATTCGGCCTTCCAATGACCCTTTTTCCCGCACAGTCTGCACGTAGAATTAGCTATCCTCTGTGCTAGTGACTTTCCTTTTCCGCCTCCTTTTCCAAAACCTTTCTTGCCCCCACTTTTCCCTCCTTTTCTCACGGGCCAAAATCCTCTGAATTTGGCACGTTCTGTCAGGCGGCGACGTGCTTCCTGATATGAGGAAAAATAGGCAGCGAGGTCTGCATCACTCTGCACTGCTTCTGTCACTGCGTCCTCAAACTGTACCACCATGGCAGCATCTTCATCATTGTCATTGGCTAACTGTGCTAAGGTTTCATCATCCAGTGGATCATCAACAGTCCAATGCGTGTCATGTTCTTCATCCTCTTCTACTTCATCAACATTGAAGGCCAAATGGTCATAGGTTTTCATGTTCTTTTCTCGTTTGGCACCCGTGTAGTCTTGAAAGAAAGATGAACCTAACATGCGTATGGCTGCTACGACCTTCTTCCATTCCAGTTTCTGTCCAATTTGTTCAGCTCCGGACTCCACCAACACGCGCTTTTTGTCTTCAGCTGAAAGGCGGCTGCCACGAAGCAAAACATACGATCGAATCTGATCCATGTCAACGTCCTTGGTCAAAAGCTCAGTCCAAACCACATCAACACGGGCGATGAAACTGTCACCTGTCTCGTCAGGCTTCTGCTGACATCGATACAAGGCCTTTTCCACCAACTCAAAACGATGCTCAAGGGGAATCTGTCCCCAGGTGCCCCCAACCAATTCCACCAGTTTCTGAACCCCTTTACGGTCATTCACCAAGAGGTCCTTTTGATGCAACTGAAGCTTCTGGTAGGCTGATCCCTTTGTGTTGAGGATCAGTCGGGTGATGAGCTCCAGGATTTTGGTCTGGGGCCATGCTTCAAGCAGTAGGTGAACCTTGCTAGACCAAATGTCCACATTGTCACTTGCAGGATCAAACGAAGGCACTAACAGCGCAAGCTGATTCGAGATGGTTCCACCCCCATCAGTTCCAGCCTGTCCTCCAGATGATTCAGTCATGAATTCTGTGGCGCCTGATCGCCAGGTAGCTCCGCTACCAATGTCAGATTGACACTGGTAGCTTGTTCACTTCCAATCCTAATCCCAGTTGGAACCCTGTCCAGCAATGCAAAACTCCTGTTTTGCCCAATGCGAAGCCACGACCTGCAATCAGTCCAACGCACCCACAGCTGGCCACAGCTGTATCCGCTAAGCGTCACTGATAGCGCTATTGCTCAAGCTAATCCCTCCCTCCAGCCCAGAGGCTGCGGCAACAACTGGTTTCTGGAAGAACCCCCTGGTTAAGTGAGGGAATGACCTCATGCACATGTGAACTGGCCTGGCTTTCACAATATGTACACATACATATATATATATTGACATATATATACATATATATGTACACATATACACACACACGATACACACACACACGTATATATATATATATATATTGACATATATATATTGACATATATATATATATATTGACATATATATATATATTGACATATATATTATATATATATTGACATATATATATATATTTTGACATATATATATATTGACATATATATATATATTGACATATATATATATATATATTGACACACACACATATATATATATTGACATATATATATTGACATATATATATATTGACATATATATATATTGACATATATATATATATATATTGACATATATATATATTGACATATATATATATATTGACATATATATATATTGACACACACACATATATATATATATTGGCATATATATATATATTGACATATATATATATTGACATATATATATGTACACATACACATGTATATATACACACACAGGATTTCCGCAGACACACAGGTGGCTTTAACCCACCCAGTGCCCAGTGCTTTTCCCAAGGTCTCAGCGAGAAGCTTCGCAGGATGTTGGATGCCCACGGGGAACAGATGGCCAAGGACGCCACTGAGGGTAGTACTGAGCTTGAAACAAACAACATGAAGTGGAGCTAAGCATGGCCAATTGCTGGAAAGTTGGGAATTCACTCCATGCAACTGGTGGAACAATATCTTCTTAGCAGCCAGAACCTGGATTGGACCACCATTTCATGGGGATAGACAGGATAGAACCCTAAATGACTGGTCGGCGGTTTCAAAATTTCATATTTCTCTCACATGTTCCATCTGACTTTGGGTCATTATTTTTCTCCGATTTTCTGGGTGCCACAAGTTTCCCCCTCAGTTATTTTAACATAGCTATGGAAAATCACCATTTTTAATGGGAAAATCCACTATAAATGGTGATTTTCCATAGCTATGTTAGTTGGTGCAAAAGCTCGAACCCGCGGGTCGATCGATGCTTCACCGGTAGGACTTCGGAGCCTACCTGGCCTTTGGCAACGGCAAGACTGGAGGCTGGGGTACCACCACCAAGTTTCATTTGGGGCTGAAGGTCGGAGGGAGTCCCGAGCTCATGAGAGTTGAAGCTTTTGGGTCAGTGGTGAAATTTGTCAGGATTCCTGACTTTGAAGAATTTCCCTCAAGCAGCCTGAGGGTGAGGCGTCCGGCACAGAAAGATGTACAGGTGCACAGCTTCCCGACTTGAGAAATGCACTTTTTTTAGAGTCGAATTCAGTCTAATTGTACATTTTACCGCGGGGATGCCTCCGGCTCTGTTGGTGGTGGGATTTTTTGAGATCGCCGGAAGCATATGGGGTATATAGGCATGATATTGGCATTGGTGGAGCATCCCTGCGAAATTGTGGTGGAATTGTTTCAAAGGCGCCACACCTGAAGGGTCACTGTTGCGTCACCATGGCGTCAGTGATCCCTAGTCAAGGATCAGCTTGAGATTATAGGGTCTACAGTCTTGAAATACATGATATGAAAAAGGCAGATTGTGCCGCAACATAGGATGTAAAAAAGGATTGACAGAAATCCAAGATCACAGCGCATTTGAATTTTCTCATTGGGTCTTGTGGCTTAGTACCTGGCTGAGACTGGCCCTTCAGAGGGCAAACGTGTCTCTGTACGTGAAAGATCCCAAAGTTTCTATGCAAGGAAAAATGGCTCACATCAACTAACCGGTCTTGAATATTTCCCGTGTAGGTGATGGGGCTTGAGATCAACATTGACACAGCTTGAAGACTTGGGCACTGGGGCTGCACCCCTCCAGGGACGCTTGGGTATGGAGCCCAAATGTCCTCCGACTTGCTGATCCTTGCGAGTTGCGGCAGAGATGCGGGGGTTCTTGCGGTGACGCAGATGTCAGAGGCCGAAGATCTCTTTGCCAAAGGATGGAGCACAGACATGAACAGACTATGTGGGTTGCTACCAGTTGACTCGTAAGATTGGCCAGGACATTGTTTCTAAATGGATGGCCGTGTCCATTGAAGCAGTTGGGATGAATGATACGTCCTACAGGGTTGGGTCGATTCACCCACGATGTTGTTGGTTTCAGTTTCAAGTATTTGTTAGTTCTTCCTGTCAATGCATAGTAAGCAGAATTAAGCAACATAGTTTCCCGGATCCTTCTGCAAGCATCCACTTTTTCTAGAAAGCCCCAGTGGTGGCATCAAGTAGATACCCATGTGACACGCACGGATCGTTGATCCAGGACCCCCCAGGCATTCTTTCTGCTTGGTTTCCGTCCGCGTCGCACGTCACGCGACGCATGGAATTTGTTGAGGTAACCGAAGCTCTGGCCTTTGAAGCCCAGTCAAGGCTGAGACTTGCCGAGTTTCAACTCTTAAATTGCTGGCCTTCATAGGGCATGCTGTGAATTTTTGATGATGATGATTCGCTTGTCGCTATCTTTGCATATGTAGTAGGGTAGTCATGTATTATCCAAACATCAATACGTGCTTGCAGCATTGCAGTATGATTATATATATATATGATCTTGCAGTATATATATATATACATACACATGTATATATGAATTTTATATGTATAAGATGTGATATTAAGATATGTGTGTATATGTATGTAATGATAATTTATATGAAATTGCATTATATATATATACAATAATGTATGTATACATATGTACACATGACTGAATATATGGTACATATTGCATTTGTTTGGCCTGTCAATCTGGCTGCTGGAGCTTGGCTGGGGAGGCCAAGAGGTGCGGAACCTGCGATCACAGCGCAGCCTATCCCGACCGCGTGGCACAGAAAGAGTTCACTGGGCGCATGGTCGTTTTCACACCCCTTCAAAGGCGATTGAAGCATGATTAACAGGGAGTTTTAAGCATCAAACAAATTGGGATCTAGTTGACAACTGATGGGTGGTTGAAGTTTATTTTAAGTCTATATTGCCCAATGTATTGGAGATGATCATAATCCAAGAAGTGGGGATCATCATCAACCAACCCTTATACGGATTTATCCAAGAGGTTTTTTGACACTGTTCATGTGATTTGTCAATTTCCAATTTTTTATTTCTCAATTCTCGGTTTGAGGGTGAAATTCAATTTTGAGAAAATGAGTAATGTGGCAAGCCCAATGCCGAAAACCATAGCCCTATTGACCCGATTTTTATCATTCGAGGGATATTGAAGCCTGTACCCACCAAAAATGGGTGAATGATTGGATTTACCTTCAACTAATAGATGGGGATTTTCCATTGCCATGTTTGAAAAAACCGGAGGATACCACCTTTTTTAACAGTGGAATCACCAACTTGGATGTCCAGGACGTCATTCTTGAGTATGCACCGTCCAGCTTTCGGGGGTTGCAGAAAGGGGCTCCACACACTTGAGCCCCTGGTGATGCCAGGAAAGAACACCGAGAAGGACAAGGCCTTAGCAGAAGAACTGAAAAACTCAGTGCCTCGGCCATCCATTTCTTTGTTGGGTTGTTGTGATTTGTTTTGTTCCAGATGCTTGAAAGACTGTTTTTATCAGCTGGCCAAATATGGACCCATGTTGCCGACCCCAAGCTACAGCGCTTTTTGTTTTTTCTGCCATTTTTCCGCCTAGGTTCATCGGATCCACACCTTAATCTCCGCTTGGAGCAGTGGGGTGATTCCAGTCCGATGAGGTTTTGCTGGACATTCTAAACAAAACGGACCATCAACTGGTGAAATTGTGGAGTCCCTCCTTTTTTTTTGACTTTTCGACACATTAATACTATTACATCTATTTTCATCTCTTTACATGTTCTTTATTGAGATGGATCATCCCGATTTTTTTATGCAATCCCCAGCGAAATCAATGGTGAAAGATCAGCCCAACTCATCCACCAACTCATAGAGATTTTCCAGCTCATCCCATATTCGCCAGGTGGACACTTTACCTTTTGCGGTCTTGAATTCCAGGCCGGGACCCGTCAGAACTTAAGTGGCTTACTGACTGATTACGACAAACCAAGGTACTGGAGGTGCTATCGATGTACTTTTGCTACTTGCCCAACAGCTAAAGCACCTCCAAAAGGAATTTGATAGGTTTTCACATCCCACCATCATTTTCTTCCGTTCCATTTTTTCACAATTCGTTTAGAGCTTCGAGAAAACCAATTATGCGATCCATTGCCTCGTATGTTCTTGATACTCTTGCACATAACTTTGCTGATTCGTGGCTATGTTTAGAGGGGCCCACTTTGAAATCAATATACAATATATATATACAATATATATATGTAATATATCTATCTATATACAATATATATATAATATACAATATATCTGTATATATACAATAATATATATATATATCTACATTATATATATATATATTTACAGTCTATATATATTTACAATATATATATATATATTGCAATATACATATATAAATATATACATACAATATATATGTATATATATATATACACATACAATATATATACATACATATCATTATATATATATTATATATATATATATATTTATGCAATATATATACAATGTATATACTGTATAATATTATATATACGTATATAATATGTATATATACAATATATATAATATACAATGTGTATACAATATACAATAAATAATATACAATATAGTTATATATAATACAATATATATAATATACAATCTATACAATATACAATATATATATATACAATATATATATATACAATACATATATATATATACAAAATATATGTATTCAATATATCTATATACAATATATGTACAATATATATATAAATATATATATATATACACTATATATATACTATATATAATTATATCAATACATATACAATGTATATATATATACACACTATACATATACTGTATACACTATATATATACACTATATATATATATACTGTAACAATATATATATATATACATACACAATATGTAAATATATATATGCAATACATATATATATACACATACAGTACATATATATATATACATACAGTACATACATACATACCTACCTACCTGCATGCATGCATGCATACATACATTGTATATATATACATACAATATATATATATACAATGTATATATATATATACAATATATATATATTTATACATACAATATATATAAAGATATACACAATGTATATATATACATACAATATATATATATACATTCAAAATATGTATATACATTCAAAATATGTATATACAATATGTATATGCAATATATATATATATATGTACAATTATATATATATGTATGATATATATATATATGTATAATAAAAATTAGATGTGAATCCACTGAGTTGGCGATTGTTTGGGAGGGCCCCAACTCCAGTTCCACCCAATTTCTGACTGGATAATCATCAACGGCGGATTTTTTCATTCCCCGTTTAGTTTTCCATGAAATATTCATTGACTCTCATTGGTATAACAACTACTTTTTCCCTTCGAAAGTATGTTATTATTGTTTTTTCTTTTAACTAGACCTGAGAACAACAAAACAAATTCAGTATCTATGCCGTTCCGTATTGGTTTCTCTCAATTCATCTCCCAAAAACCCGGTTCTGAAGCTCGAGACGCGTCGGTTGTTCGGAGCCTCGGGCCATGGCGAAACCTTTGGCGGCGCTGTTGCAGGAGGTCAATACGGCGGAGCTGGAGGTGCTTCATGGGCTTTGCTTGGAAAAAATGGGTAGAATCCATGGGTCAATCATGGTTAATAATGGTTAACATGGTTAGAATCATCGTTAGGATCATGGTTTGTAATGGTTAATAATGGCTACAAGCCATATAACAATGGCTAATAGTGTTCACAATGGTTGACCATGGGTAAGAATGCAAAACAGACTGGTTCATGAGGGGCAATAATGGTCCATAATGGTCATGTTTAAACGTTGTTACTAATGATTTTTAATAAGGGCTTCAATGACCATCTCCGCAATGAAGAGCTCGACCATTTTGGTCTTCCAACTCCCCACTCCATGGCAGGGTCGTCGCGTAGAATTTTGGGGGATTTACCATAGAACAATGGTAATTAACCTTTTACTGTAAGAAACATCCTGGTATTTTTCAGCAATGGCAACTCCGTGGCTACAATGGTATCAAATTGTATGTATGGGTGTGCAAGAATCGATTGACAAGGTTGTGAATCCTTGGGT